AACGCGTGTTAATGTTCAGTGATTATGTCTCTCTGTATCCGACTGCGAATATATGAATTTGAATTCATGTAGAAATAGGGACAAAGAAAATTCCTGAAAAAAAATTCAAATAATTTATTTTTTATCTTAAATGCCACGGTTCTCCACTGCTTCCTCTTTATTAGATATTTTTTAATATTTTTGTGAAAAACAGAAGAGGTTTCTTAACTTTTTGTATTTTGAGCTACCTTTTAACTCGGCTGGTTACCAACTAATGCTAGACAGCCCGGTCTACTCTATTATTTCACCCATCGATGATGTATAAATGATAAACAGATAAGAACAAACTTGTTAGATACGATGTTCTCATCTTTTATAAATTCGCGTAAAGCTAAATTTTGTGTTCCTACCTTATATCAGTAGAACAAAACATCCCCCCACTGTAAAAAAAAAAAAAAAAAAAAAAAAATAGTTATCAGCTTTTTACATATATGTTACCAACACATTTCGTTTATCATATAATTGGTCACATGTAATTTGGATAATTTTTAGAAGTATATTTTAATAAATATTTTGTCTGTTTAGTTTTCATTCCAATTTTAAGATGCTTTCTAAAAGCTAAGCAGGGTAATAAAAAGCAGGAAAACTTCGTTAGAAACAAAAGAGTACTGAACTGTTATGTGATATGTCCTTCTGTATGGCAGTGAAAATTGGACAATCTCCTCAATTATTGATAGATATATCGATATGAAGAGACTGAGATAGCTAGGTATGAATATGGATAGATAGGTCTGAAGAGACTGAATATATAATGTGAAACAGAAATAAATTGATAGGTTGATGGAACCAGAGAGAGAGAGAGATGAAAATAGTTAAACACAGTCGAGATAGAGAAACGGAGAGTGTGAATATATATATATATATATATATATATATATATATATATATATATATATATATATATATATATACGTAGATAGATAAAAAAAATTGAATATTTAGGAAGTGTTTTAACAGTCCGGAAAATGTGACACTGAAATCCGAAGTCGCATTGGGATAGCGAAATATGCTTTCCAAAACCTAAGCAAAGTATTAAGAAACAGGAAAATTTCGTTAGAAACAAATAAAAGTACTGATCTGTTATTTGATATGTCCTCCTGTATGACAGTGAATGCTGGACAATATCCTCAAAGATAAAGAAGAGACTGGAAACAAATGTTTCTACTGAAGGATGTTGAGGATACCAATGGCCAAACATGTGAACAACGACAAAGTTTTAGAGAAAATGGAAACAAAAAAGACTTAGGAAGAGACAGCTGAAATTTCTAGGGCACATGATGAGAAAAGAGGGCTTGGTAAATCTGATAGAAGACAAGAGAGACAGGGGAAAAAAATCAATGTATAACGTAGTTAGTGAGCTTGAGTAAATTGTGGAGAGCCATAATCGCCTACGTCCTGAGGGGACACGGCACATGAAGAATATAGGAAATGTTTTTTGTGGTGTTTATCCTTTTGGTATGGGAAAAGTTTGTCTTCAAATTCAGTCGTAAGATCAGAAAAATATCAGTATGTTTACATTTAAAGAACATTTAAAAAAAATGTAATCTTGGCTTTTAAAAAGTAATTTTGTTAAGAAACTGACATAGATAATTTAAAAATATTAATTTTTTTTATAAACTTTTAGGCCAGGTGACATTAGCTGCAACCTTCTATCCTGAAGCGTTCATAGTAACCATTATCGTCAACTGACATTTCACATTACGACAAATTGGTCAAGTGGAGCCGACAAAATTTTTACGGAATTACTTAAGTCAAAATAATCTGTTTAGATTTTCTTGAAACTAACGAATTATTTAAACAAATGGATAAACAATAGTTTTTTTTTATTGTTTTCTTTTTATTTATATAAATACTGTCTTGATTGTTTTAGTTTCTGGTTTTTATAGAATTAGAATTTTTTGGCAACCCTCACAGTATTCAGTATTGAAGTTATCGCTAACGTTTTTTGTCAAGATTTACAAACTCTACGTTTCATTCAATTTCGCAAACCAATCGATGAAATTTGAATAAGTTGATTCGTTTGGAAAAATACTTTGACAAAAAAACCCTGCTTCGCTTTCTGAACGCCTTTAATTAGATTTTATAGGACTTCATTGTAAACAATATTTTAAAAAGAAAGTCTTCTTTTTCCTTTTTAACAGCGAAGAATAAATTCTTAGTATTTCTTACTCTTGGGCATGCAACTGGCTATACGTAAATATTTCTTTCTGGGGCCAAATTCCAACCTTTTGGCCCTGTGATTTGTTTATAGTTCTTGCAAATATAGGTTTGGTTTGTGAATGGGTTGTTTAATACCGACAAAATTTTCATTGTTGGTAATATTTTTTTCCAAAAATCTATTTCTGGTAATAATTTTTCTTCGCTGGTATTTTATTTTATTTTAAAATGTGTAGCTGGTAATGATTTTTTTTTTTTTTTTTACAAATTATTTCTGGTATTTATACCCATTTTTACACTTTCATAGTGTTTCTGCTCCAGTTCCGGGGTCAACTATTTGCTCATAGCTGGGACCTTAACAGATGCTACCACCCCGGGTTAGGGTTGATTTGGGAACACCAGCAACTAAGAGGTGGTTCCACGCTCCTCAAAACCTTCTGATCAGAGGCCTTGCTGCTGGACGTAGTTTATCGTCTTACCCAGGAAGCGGATGTAGTTTAACGCCATACCCAGGACGGGCAAATATAGGGCGAACTGGAAAGTGTGTGTGTGTGTATATGGAAAAGATATACAAAAACAATATTGCATGTTTATTAATTGTTATTTTAATTGTTTTTAAAATAGTCGTAGTATTTGGTTTGTTAAATAAGTTTTAATTTTTTCAAGAAATTTAATGATAATCTATTGTATTAATTACACACCCTAGTAAAATCAATTGTATTTTGTACCCCCCCCTTTCCTGTTTTCATCTCTCCCCAAATTTGGTTTCGATCACTCAATGTATTGCTATTTTAGAAGGGGTGATGTACGGACTAACGGAAATCACAAAATTTTATATATAGATAAATAAAAATGAGTTTTTATTTTGAGAAAATCGAATAAAAAGACTAATATTAAAAAAAATGAATTCGTAAGTTTCAAAAGAGCAAAAATGTAATTGTTTCCTTTTGTTTTCAATAAACAAATAAACAATAGAGCAGGTGTGTGGATAGTGCAACTGAGCTAAGGGTTTTTTTTTCTGTTATCTACACTTTTGCACTTCCCCCTTCATTTATAGGTTAAATATCAGAGTAGATGATGCCTTGGGTGGCAACCAGTCTAAGAAGAAAAACTGAATTCCATACCTTAAATTTGAAATTTTTTGTTGAAGCTATAAAATAAAAAAACGAAATCTAATAACGAGAAACTACTCCGCTATCTTTCCCAAGAAGTCCTGATAATTTAAATAGTGAAGAAACAAATGAACCAAATTTGGACTGTTCTATGTTACTTACTGAAAATCAAATTACACGTCTTTATTTCTTTCTTACAGTGTTAAATTTGTTTTCATTAGCTGTTTTGTCTTTAGTAGGGGAAATTTGACCGATAATTTGTCAGTGAAGTAGTGAATAGTTTTAAATTCTAGCAGCTTCAGACCCGCGTATTAGTTACGAGGCGAACATTATCTCTAAAAGAAAATCTGGAAAGACAAACTATTTCACCAGTATCCCTTCGGCCAGTCAATAATTGGTAATTCGTTAATTCACGGTCGAATGAAAAGGTATTCAATCCCGACACCCACGTCCTGTTATTTCGATTTGTTTCTTTTTGTGAATCGAGACGGGTAACATGGCACACAAGTGCAACAGTCAGCTGACCTTGTATCATTTATTTTGTTTATCTTTCCTGCAGTCAGGATATCGCGCATTGAAGAATCATCGGAACACCAGGATATCCGATATTTATGTTTTAGAAACCCGACATTAGACATGGAAGAACACTGGAGAATTAGGCATCTGAAAAAATCGATACATGTGCTAGGCTATAAGGATCTCCTCAGTAGACCTAGCATAGAAATAAATACAATATGGGAGCCGCTAATAAAGAAAAACAAATGACAGCAAGTCTTCAACAGCAGCTGTCAAAACATGACAGGCAGCTGTTGCCGTATTAATCAGCAGATAGGTTAAGTTTAAGGCTCCTAGTTCACTACAGTAAATTGTCCTACGGGACAAAAGCATTTGTTCATAAATTTGGTGACATGGTGATCTCTGGGTCGTACAGTGTAACGAGATGTCAACCCCCGTAGATTAAATAAATTTTCTGTGGGTTATTCAAACCAATATACACTTAAGGAACGCCGGAGGGCACGACAAAAAAAAAAGAGGACAATAGTATGAATATAGTGTTAATAACACGAAATTTCAATACGCCATAGTTATTTTTTCTTTCTTTAATCCTTAAAATTAACATGTTTTTTCACGCACGCACACACAATGTTACCATTTATCGATGATTTCTTCTTTTTCCTAATTGAAGCCGCGTCTTCTATACGTGTTCTTAAATCACATGACTAGCTTTCCTGTATTATCTACAGATGCCACGAGCGTCTCTCTTGAACGCAGCAGTCCAGGCTGTTGAACGTATCACACTTACTGACAGTATATATGGCTATTACTATGCGTATGTAATGACAGGCCTTCATTTTGAAATGGCATTTATTCGGATTGCCATCAAAGTATCTATGAAAAAGGTAAAGAGAAATCCTCTCGTCTTAATTTAAAGAGAAATAAGTTCGGTACGTTTTATTTCGTTCGACACTACTTCCCAGTGTAGATATTACGTGGTAAATACTAAGAATTAAGCATAAGCAAGCCATATTTACCCGTGATCTGCCCAAATAATAAAGATTAATTTTTTTGTCATATCGATAACGATTATTTGATGTTGGGTTGGTCGATTTTACGACACGTCAACATATCGTAAAATCAACCAATCCGACTGAAAATGATCATTGGGGAGGAACACAAATGATTTGGTTTATTATGCGAAAGTCTTTGTTTCTCTCCGTCTTTCTTTGTGTCTCTCTGTCTCTGTGTGTGTCTCTGTATGTCTCTCTCTCTGTGTCTCTCTCTCTGTCTCTCTATCTGTGTCTCTCTCTGTCACTCTCTGTCACTCTCTCTGTATGTCTCTGTCACTCTCTCTGTATGTCTCTGTCACTCTCTCTGTATGTCTCTCTCTCTCTGTGTATGTCTCTGTCTCTCTCTCTGTGTATGTCTCTGTCTCTCTCTCTGTGTATGTCTCTGTCTCTCTCTCTGTGTATGTCTCTGTCTCTGTGTATGTCTCTGTCTCTGTGTATTTCTCTGTCTCTCTGTGTATTTCTCTGTCTCTCTGTGTATTTCTCTGTCTCTCTGTGTATTTCTCTGTCTCTCTGTGTATTTCTCTGTCTCTCTCTGTGTATTTCTCTGTCTCTCTCTGTGTATTTCTCTGTCTCTCTCTGTGTATTTCTCTGTCTCTCTCTGTGTATTTCTCTGTCTCTCTCTGTGTATTTCTCTGTCTCTCTCTGTGTATTTCTCTGTCTCTCTCTGTATTTCTCTGTCTCTCTCTGTGTATTTCTCTGTCTCTCTCTGTATTTCTCTGTCTCTCTCTGTATTTCTCTCTCTCTCTGTGTATTTCTCTGTCTCTCTCTGTCTCTGTATTTCTCTATATATTTCTCTCTGCATATTTCTCTCTCTATGTCTCTGTCTCTCTGTATATTTCTCTCTATATATCTCTGTCTCTCTGTATATTTCTCTCTATATATCTCTGTCTCTCTGTATATTTCTCTCTCTATATCTCTTTCTCTCTCTATATCTCTTTTTCTCTGTATATTTCTCTCTCTATATCTCTTTTTCTCTGTATATTTCTCTCTATATATCTCTGTCTCTCTGTATATTTCTCTCTATATATCTCTGTTCAATTATGTGCCCGGACTTTCAAAGATGTCATATTCTCAGGACTGTGTAAAGCTATTTCTGAATTTCATTTGGTGTTGGACTCTGTTTAAATTAAGTCCTACAAGTCATCTCACTGTAAGTAAGAGTGGTTTGTAGGCTTAAAGGTAATTAGCCTGTAAGTGTTATTATTGTTATTATTAAAGTTGGTTTTTAGTGTTTGTTTTTGGTCGTTGTCAACATTTTTTTCATCCTAAATTAAGATCTGATGAGAGGGCCGATAAATCATTTTTTTAATCATTTCACACCAGGCAAGGAAATAAAGCCACTAAGATGCAAACGGTTACTGAATCTGAGTAAAATCTTAAGGGGAGAGAATAATATAAGAACAGGAATTAAGTAGAGTGAAGATGATGATTGACAATGCATTTAAATGTTTGAAGTTCAAAGTTGACTGGAAAGCAAGAAGCCGAATAAGTGAGAAGTGTGAGAGAATAAGCTGTTAACATAGAACTTACGGTTACATCTGCAATATTTATTTTGAAAATACAAGAATGTGACACAATTCCAAAAGCTGGGATAGGGTGAGGCTGGTCTTCAATTTGTCTTGTCTTAAAATTAGCTGACTTGAAACATATCGGAGTATTCCTTACATCAGTCACGATTGCAATTCGAGCAATAAATCTCGAATATTGCTGACACCAAAACAACAAATTCTTACTTACCATTCTTATTACAGTCACCACAATGCCTCAAAGTCTCTATAAAGTCCTAACTAGTCCCCATATGTACAATTTGTCCGTCGGGGTGGGAATAAAAATAACAACTTTTATTTTATATTTTGTGGAGGTTGTTGTCAGGAAAGCAAGGAACCAGGAACCGGAAGAGTTTCACTGGTGAGAAATGTGAGAAAAGAGACTATTAGAATAGAACTTACCATTACATATAGTTGAGCAGTAAAACTGAGACCTAGGTGCCAATCTAGTAGTACATTCACATTCATGCAGCTAAACTATATACAGTTATGATAGGTCATAAAAATGTTTAGTTATATCATCATCAGGAAAGGAATTAACTATAGATCACTTTTATTAGAACAATGTAAATACACACATTTGTTCTGAGGATGATTTAAACACTGAAATATAAACAGTAAAATGGTCGGCTCCCTGTACCGCTTTAGTAAGTACCTGACTCTTTTCAATCTCGATAGTTCAAAATCATCTCTGGCTCCTTGTGGGTCACTAATTATTTTCCAGCCTTCTATCTCTCTCTCAGAAAGTACTCGGACGAACTCCATTCCTTGTTTCAACCAGGTCTAACCTTTTTACGGTTAGGACCCGCCATGCCATTGCCAAGAAAACTTTTCTATCCTCTTTCATATTTTTAATTATATAGTGGAACCTCAGTTCACGAATTTAATTCGTTCCTGAAGGCTGTTCCAATAGGAATCAATGTAGAGAAAAAAAGTCACAGTACAATAAAACTAGAAAAGCACGGCACAACACACGAATGTATACAACACGGCGGTCTATTCAGAAATGATTTCGTTCGTGTTAACTTGCTTCGGCAATGTTGTTCGAGAACCGAAATTTTGTTCGATAAACGAGGTATTTTCATCTGGAATTTTCTGTTCGACATGTGAGACGTTCGAGAACCGAGGTTGCTTTTTATATTTTAGTTATATCTGAATTACACACACCACACTTCAAAAGTTTGAGGACACCCTTGTAATTTTTTAAATTGGCCCCCAAATGAGTTTTTTGTACTTTTAAATAAAAGAAAATGATTATACATGGTTAAAAAAGACATGATTTTTTTATTAGTAATTTTATTACGACAAAAACTACAAATAGCATTTTATGATTTAAATTTTGCTCTCGTCAAAATCTCCTTTTAGTCTTGATTACTGCAGCAAAACTTTCTCAAAGTATAAGTTTGATAATTGATTCCATTTTGTTTTTGCAATGACTCTAAGAGCTTTTTCATTTTTTTCTCGCTCTTCTGTCAAGTCCATCCTATGCTAATTTGGGGGATGGCTTCAAACTGTAATGTATGTTATGTATGTATGTATGTAATGTAATGTATACACACGGTATCTCCAAACAATTGACATTATTTAAAATGTGAATATCTACACGGAACTATACGTCCCAAGCAAACGAAATGAAATAGTTTTTATATTGAACAATAAAAGATTTATTTATCAAAATTTGAACAAGATATGCAAAGGAATGTAGATTTCATAACCGATTTTACAAAGCTCCCCAAATGTTCAATATACACACCACCTGTGACACGACACTCATCAGGTCGGTAGTCCAGCTCCTGCCAAACACGCTGAAGCACGTCTTGCGAAACGTCCTTCAATTCTCTGCTTAAGTTCCTCTAGGCTTGTAGGAAGAGGGCGGTTATATGGGGTTATGTGAAAGGACAAGTCTATAGACTTGTCCTTTCACATAACCCCATATAATAAAAAAAATCACAAGAAGAACATGGTGGCCATTTCAGCAGCACATTGTCATTGTTACTAGAACGCCCGATTCATTTTCCTGGTAGATTCTCATTGACATAAGTCCGCCGGAGTCAGATTAATGGGACCATAAACTACTTGCGAATCCTGAGTAAGACGATAAACTACATCAAGCAGCAAGGCCTCTGATCAGGTTTTGAAGAGCGTGGAACCACCTCTTAATTGCTGATGTTCCCAGGTCCACCTTGACCCGGGGTGGTAGCACCTGTTAGGGTCTTAGATATGGACAAATAGATAACCCCTAAAATGGGTCAAAATACCATGAAAGTGTAAAAATAGGTTTTAATACCAGCAATACATTTGTTGTAAAAAAAAAAAAAATATTACCAGTCACAATTTATCGTGGGCAAGGGCTTGAACGTGCTGGCCTTGTTCAAATTGTTGATCATGCTAGATGTGGGTGTTGAATAAACAGAAAATGCGCCAGAGCAAGCGTCTGCAACAGATTGGCTAGCTGCCTTAGTAAACGGGTATCCTCAAATACAGTGGCCAGCTATAATATATATATATATATATATATATATATATATAGGATTGGTGTATACGGAATAAATTCCAAAACCAACAATTACTATTCTTAAAAGAGTGCTCAATACATAGTAGAGCAGATATAATTATTTATTTAAAAATTCTAACATAAATATGTTATAAAATCACTACAAAAATAGCCATTTTGTTTCAACACCACTAGTGTCTTATAAAGTGATGGTGTTGAATAACCTACATCATCATCACTTGATTAGACACTAGAGGTGTTGAAACAAAATGGCTATTTTTGTAGTGATTTTATAACATATTTATGTTAGAATTTTTAAATAAATAAATATATATATATATATATATATATATATATATATATATAAAAAAAGAGAGAGAGAGAGTTGAAGAGCATCATTCTGGGAGAAGCAAATCTTCTGGTTAAAATCAATAGTACTAAAGAGCAAATTATTATTATTTACTGCGACATAAAGCATGCAAACTTACCCGCCCGTAACAAATATAAATTATTTAAAAAGCAAGTTAAAAGAAAAAGTGAAAAGAGGCAACAAAATTGTGTTTTACTGTACTTGTACCCTTAAATCATAAAAGACAAACAGGCGAATTGTATTCTTTCTTTTTCTTTCTTTTTTTTTCTTTTTTTTTACCACTTTTTTCCGGGCACATGTTAAACATTGTCCCATAACTGATAACCAATTATTTTTATAAAGCCATAATTAATAACTGATTAGTATAATTGTTGTGGACCCAGAATAGGTCCGAAAGAAAACTCGAACTCAGCAATTTAGTGAGAAGATATTATTAAACAAAAAGAACTAATACAAATGTGTTGCACGTCCGACTGACGGCAAAGTACAGTCGTCAACTCGTCTACTGTAGACATCGATATTTAGTTACGCCCACCCCCCCACGAGGGTTACATGTGGCACAAGGCTTGGTTTAACGGGGCAGTCAACCTTCGGCGGAGCTTCGTCCGGGTTCCTCTCCACCCGAAGGCAGAGTTCGACTGTTTAGCTGGCACGGGTCAACTGTAGACAGCGATATTTAGTTACCCACCACGAGGGGTACATGTGTCACAAGGCCGGTTTAACGTGGGATCTCCGAGGATCCCCGAGCCCGTAGGCTCGGCCAAAAATAATCCCTCTTTGAACCCGCATAAACGGGTTCAGGGGCAGTCAACCTCCCCGAACGAGACTCTGCCCTTCGGCGGAGCCTCGTCCGAGTTCCTCTCCACCCGAAGGCAGAGTTCGACTGTTTAGCTGTAACAGGTCAACTGTAGACAGCCCCCTTGAGAGGCATAATCTCCCCATATATATAGCAATAGGACGAATCCATTTAGTCCATAAAGGTAGGTTCCATAACAATAATATAGTTTTAAAGTATGCTATATTTTGGGGTAAAAAGTGCTCAATATCAGAGATAGACCGTATTTAGAATTTTAAGGAAATTCTTATTTGTCATTTTAGAAAGTTTATAGTGTTTAGTATTTTTGATTGTCAATTTGTTGCTGTCAAAGCGATGATTAGAGTTGTAATAAAGCCTAAACATGAAAATAAATTTACACATTTTCTTTGTGCTTGAGAATTGCCAAAAAAATAATAAACACTATTACATTGTTTATTTACTCTATTTATCTTATTTATTAAAATGGTTGGCAAAACCTCGGCTAATTGTCAATTGATTCAAACTTTATAAAATGGCAAATTATAAGGATTTCCTTATAATTGGTTCACATATTTTAACGATTTACTAAATGTCTATAATTTATGAATAGAAAATTTTCATATTTCTTTATAAATTCTTAAATATTGCATTAGTTTTAATTGTACTAGTTTTTAGAATGTTGTAAATATTAAATTACTTTAAATAAACAATCTAATAAAGTCTATTTTTGTTGTCAATTCTCAAGAATAAAGAAAATGTATAAATTTACTTTCATCATGTGTTTAAGTTTTATTCCAATTTTAACCATCGCTTTTTAAAGCAAATATTGCCAAGGAGTGGAGGTAGTTAAAATAATAGCGGTGTCAAGGATAAGTCTGTGCTTTTGGCACTACGTCTTATTGCTAGTACGTTTATCCATGTTTACCCGTGTCTCGAATTACGTTCTAGCCTGATCCGTTGTCTTTGATGTCCAATAAAACGAGAAATAGAATAATTGTTACGATTCGGGCCGTTGTTTCAAAAGTTCGCTAAATCAGAAATCTATCATATTTAAGCATATAATGGCACATGTGAGTATCTAAGTTCAGTGGAAATGATGCTATTGAAGCAGGTGCTGCCGCGACGGGCATGATAGCGTAATTAAAGTTGTAGCCAATGACAGTGAACAGAGACATGAATCTGTCCGCTAGAAGGAAATTATTGACACGTGTATGTGTCGGTTTATAGTGTTAGCCCCCATTGTCTCATTTGACTGTCAAACATCAACACGCCACACAGATCTTTGCACACGTTTGGCTAGCACAAAAAGGCCATGAAAGAGTCGTTATCTGTAAGCTTCAGTGGTTGCGTCCTGGTAGGTTCGAATTATTAGTCGAGAAGAAGAAAACAAAACAAAAAAGTTAGGGTGTGGGGTAACAACGTGTCTGAAGGTTTAGCTCAACCTCGGTTCTAAGGTCTTGGGATTGAACCGATAGGTTGACAATGAAATTTGAAAATAGAAAGAGAAAAATATGGTGGACGGGGAGGAATGGTTAATTCCGAGGAGGAGAAAGGAGGGAGATGGCGACCAAGTAAGGAAATGATGTAAGGAAGAGGACGAAGGATTTTGTTTATGAAAATAAGGATAGTATTTGAAAGCAAGGATAAACTATTAAAATGAATGAAGACGATGAAGGAAAAGACTTGGTCAACGAACGAAAGAAAGCGTAAAAGGAAGACGGAATGAAGACGATCGATGAAGGAAAAGACTTGGTCGACGAACGAAAGAAAGCGTAAAAGGAAGACGATGAAGGAAAAGACTTGACCAACGAACGAAAGAAAGCGTAAAAGGAAGACGGAATGAAGACGATCGATAAAGGAAAAGACTTGGTCGACGAACGAAAGAAAGCGTAAAATGAAGACGATGAAGGAAAAGACTTGACCGACGAACGAAAGAAAGCGTGAAATGAAGACGATGAAGGAAAAGACTTGACCGACGAACGAAAGAAAACGTAAAAGGAAGGCGGAAGGAAAAGACTTGACCGACAAACGAAAGAAAACGGAAAAGGAAGACAATGAAGAAAATGAAAGAAAAGTGCATGATTGCCCTGTGCTAAAAGATGGTGAAAAAATAAAGGAATGAAAACGGAATAATGGAAGAAATGTAAAAGATACTGTGAAAGGGGCGAGGGAGAGAATGCTACGGTGGAAGAAAGATAATAAGATTGGTTAGAGAAGATAGCACGATATTTAATGAACGTTGGAAATCAAGAAATAGGCGGACTGAAAAGAGAAAATGGATTTTTTTTAATATACTAGGAAAAAGCAGCTTCAGCAATAGATGGGACGGGTGGATAGAAAATAATTAAAAAAAAAATGTTGAAAACAACGAAAAAGATCTTTTTAAATAAGAAAAAAAAAGGATTACAGCAATGAAAGAACCAGCCGACAATGGAAAGCCGACAAAATAATCGAGAGAAGAGAACGGAGACGTCACGTGGTACAATCAGCAGCCATATTGCTGTAAATGCGGGCATTGGTCAAAGTGATAAACCTGTTAAAGTCCGCACATAATCACTAATAAAAAGACGAGTAAATCTTAATGGTGCTGTAAGCTAAAACGGAGGTTCCGCCATTTTGTACAAAGTGCAAGTGTTACATATCTTCTTGAATTAATCACTTACGCCCACTTATTTACACACGCATGCGTACATACACTTCTTTTACTATGTAGACGGATCTTTGTTAGATCTTAAAATACATACGTTGTCATCAATATAGGTACCCTTTTTGCTTATTCTAGAAAATATACATTGAATCTTTTCTGTTAATTCATCTCAAATAATGTAAAGTTACTTATCGTAAATATTAATTCACCTCAAGAGATTATAAAATTCAAATTAAAGTTTGTTTTATTAAATTTTTGCCACTCTTCTGCAATTCTAAATTTTAAAGCAATATTTGTTTACCTTGTCTCGAAGCAACTCCAATCCTCAGAATAAAAAAAATGCCAAAATCAAAAGTTGCAAAATTTGTATAACTCTCTGATTTTGGTAAGTGCAGATGATATTCTAGGTACTTAAGACAGTTTTACAATTTAAAAAAAATGTTTATCGGGTTTAGCGCGAATGCAGACCCCCACACTTACAAATAGCACACTCTACCTCACTCCCATTTGGGGCGATCACAAAGGTCATTGGTGTGAATTTTAGTAAATATAAATACAGTGTAACCCGGATATAAGAGAGTTGTCGGGACCGGAGAAGAAGTCTCTTATATCCGGGTTTGGTCTATTTTATATACATTAACACAGGCTCTAATTTGGGACCAGAGAAAATCTCTCTTATATCCGGGTCACACTGTACTTTTTATTTTGAGATGAATTAATAGAAGCCATCCTATACATTAATGGCGCTAATTTCAAATACGCTTGTTTCTTTATGATTTGCTCTTCAGTTTACACGAATTTTATTTTAATGCGATTTTATATTTTCAATCCTCCATTTAGGACCTCGATCAACAATTTCGTGGCTTTTGTAGGTCTTAGAAAATTTTTTTTTTTTTTTTTTTTTTTGCTATCTCTCCTAATTCCGGTCCTGCTAACCATTTACACAAGCTTGTTAGGTAAGTTATGCGCTGGTTTCCTTGCCTGCAATATGCTCTGTGATCGTCAAATTGCCATCTTCTATCTTCCAGAACTATGTTCTTTTATTATCTTTTCTCCTCATTAAAGGCTTTTTTTCACTTCTACTCCCAGTAATCATTTGCATCTTAGTGGTATTATCGCCTTTCCTGGATTGAAATGATTAAAGAAAAAAAAATGTATTAGTATGTGTAATATATATTAGGGTTTTCTGGAGAGAATTTGAGCATAAATAGCATTTTGATCACTTCCGAAAGTCATCAGAGTTTCGTGGTTTCTTAAGTTATAGGTAAGCATCGTGTTATATATTGAAGTCAACACATAAAGGCGACAGGCTGTTTCATGCTAGACGCAATCGTCAGGCTACGACGATTGCGTCTGCGAAACAGCCTGTCGCCTCTAAGTGTTGACTTCAATGTTCACTTTTATATTTACACACGCTCTATCTCTGATAGTGAGCACTTTATCCCATAAATATAGCACACCTTAAGACACACACACACACACACACACACACACACATATATATATATATATATATATATATATATATATATATATATATATATATATATATATATATATATAATTTGAGTAGATGCACTGTTTGTATTTATATATTTACATCTACTGGCCTGAATATTTCGAGAAATCTTGTTAGAAAAAAATGTGTCCTCCGGCAGGATTCGAACCTGCGTCCCTTATGGGGGGGAAAGTCATTAGATCTGAAGTACCTTATACCAGCTCGGCCACGTAGGACCTCCTGATCAAATAAAACCCGAATAGTGCTTTTGAACACATACTACCCACCTTTCCGAAATATACATGCCTGCTCTGTTTTATATCCTAAGGTAAACAAAAACAATTTTTGAAGAAATGGGTTAACATGGACAAAATTTTTAATTTTTAATTTATTTACTTAATAGTTATAAAATAACTAGTTACTCATATTGGAGTAGAGGCCTTGTTTATTTATTTATTTATTTATTCATTCATTTATTTATTTATTAAACAGTGTATTTATTTACATCTACCGACCTGAATATTGAGAGAAAGAAAAATATGCATGCTCCGGCAGTATTCGAACCTGCGTCTCCTAGTGGAAACCGTAATAATAAATAAAATAAAAACAGTGCATCTACTCAAATATTAGTATCCATTTATAAAGTAACGTTTAAGATAAGTCAAATAGAAAATTTGTCGGTATTCATCCATTTTCTAAAACTATACGCCCCCGAAAAATTAATTTCGGTCAAGCACTCTGGAGAGAAAGCGCAAATTTGTAAACAGTGGCTACTATTGCTGATAATGCAAAGCTCTTCTATGAATTGAGTCCTCTCAGTCACTGGCGTGTTTATTTAACGAATAAATACGCAAAAATTCGTCTTTCTCTCTACCAGGCGCTGATAGCTCAGGAGTAAAATCTCTGACTTATGCCAAATCAGTCGGGTTTCAGTCCCGGCTTGAGACAATCGGATGTCTAGCCATAATGATGAGCTGTGATACAGCAAATCAGTCTGTCTGTGGATATATATATATATATATATATATGTGTTTGTGTGTGTTCTGAACAATAAAAAACATTAAAATTTTCAAACACACTGGATTGTATATTATTTTTTCGTTTTATTATTTCAATTAAATTTCTCGACTAGTTTCGGCCAACATGGCCATCATCAGGAGAAAAAGAATTTCTGCTTGTTAGTAGCAGTGAACTACGGGAATGAATGACTTGATGAAGATATACCAATTAAAAATGTCCTAATTCTTTTAACCTCACACACATAGTTATATGATGGGGCTCTTACTGTTTTTACAAATATTTTGAAATCTTCGACAGGTGTTACTAACGGTTTTTTTTTTATATATATATATACTCAGCAGTAGGTACGACCTGACGATCTAATTTTATTAACCGTTAATGTCTACCATAAAATCTCGTATTTATAATAAAAAATAAAATTTCAACGTTAATTATGGGCTTCCTACCTATTAATGCCGACCATCTACAAAATAGGTTAAAGGCAAGGAGACAACACAATGTCTTCCAACATATTATTCGCTAGTAACTCTGTTTAAATATTGATACATTTTGTTTAGGCGATTTTTTTTTAGATATTTTTATTCGGATTTTAGGGTTTATTGTTTTTCTTATTGCTTTTGACTGTTTTTATTGCTTTTTTAGTTTACTTATTTAGTTTGTTACGTTTTTATTTTTAATTGCATTTTATTTTTGTCTGTAGTTTTTGTTGTTGTTTAGGGTTTTTTTTAAAGCATTTTTTCAGTTTCTTTAGAATATTTAGTTTTTTAGCTTTACTTTTCTTTATTTGTTTTGTTTTTAATTTTAACTAGAGTTATTCCTGTATATAGATTACGTAACTACTTCCAGAGTTTGTCATGATTAATCTATATTCTCTTAATTTGGAATGGTGTGAAAAACTCTTATTCCTTTAACGAAACATTGATTTTGATTCCAGGCAAAATCGCATAAATCCGTACATTGTAATCTTTTCGCTAACGGTCGTCAAATGTTTTATATTTTGAAGGAGTTTTGCCGATTTTTTTTTTTTTTTTTCCCCAATAAGCGTTCTTGTATTTTGTTGACGAAACTTGTCTGGTGAGCTTACCCAAGCGCTTCTTATTAATTCCATAAATATATACTACTAGTTTACTAGTAACGTTAAAAAGAAGTGACAACATTACTGAAGTGAATTGGCCTTTTCATTGTCTTTACATTGACATTATTATTATTATTATTATGTTTCCTGCTTTGTATCCTGTGGAGCCGGGTCCAAACTACGGCCCTTAGGCTCTATAGAAGAATTGTCATTTTCTTAATATATGGGATGTTTCTAGTAGGGGGCGATATGTTCTTGTTACCTGGAACACTAAGTAAAATTGTCTATTCCTTTTCTCACGAGGGCCAGTGCTCCTATTACTATTGGTACAGTCTCAGTCTTCATTCGCTACATCCATTATTATTATTATTATTATCAACTTTTATTTTATTTCCTTTGATTTCTGGTGTGTACTCATTTCGTACCTGGACCAGAGACCGTGGATCAGAAATGGCATCATGACATTTTCCATTGAGCAATTTTGAAAAAAAAAAAAAAATCACATACTTTAGATAGATAAAGCCCTTCGTAAGGTGTGGGTTTTACTCGTGAGAACATTTTATTATTATTAAGCAAAGAAGTTAACAAACGCGACCATCAGACGAATGGAAAACCAATAATATATATATATATATATATATATTAAAAGCTGGTGCTTATAAAACAGTGCTCGATATAATACAAAATATATATATATATATATATATATATATATATATATATATATATATATATATATATAGTAAAAGCTGGTGCTTATAAAACAGTGCTCGATATAATACAAAATAGCTATATATATATATATATATATATATAATTTTTGCCGTGCCTTTAAAACCCAGTAAATTTAAAAATAAGTTACTCCAAAATTCGCTTGAGCATGAAATGGAACTAATGTCTTTAATTTAATTACAAAATTAAATTCGAAGCTTTTGCCTTCCATTTTTGAAACATGGTTAGAACTGTGTAGCGAAAAAAAAGCATATTTTAAATCAGTTAATTTATAATATTAATGCTCTGTAAATTTACATTGAGCACCATTTTGTAAAAATAAAAAATATCTATACGAACACCGGATTATATATCTTACTGTTCTTTTCTTTTATATATATATATATATATATATATATATATTAGCATCATGGCCCGGCGTTGCCCGTGCTTGATTCAAAAATCG